CACAATCGTGACAACATGATAATGTAATATATATATATATATATATATACAACACAAACACAATCGTGACAACATCAAAATGATAATGTAGATACATATACAACAACACAAACACAATCGTAACAAAATGATAATGTAGATATATATACAACAACACAAACACAATCGTGACAACATGATAATGTAGATATATATACAACAACACAAACTCAATCCTGACAACATGATAATGTAGATATATATACAACAACACAAACACAATCGTGACAACATGATAATGTAGATATATATACAACAACACAAACACAATCGTGACAACATGATAATGTAGATATATATACAACAACACAAACACAATCGTGACAACATGATAATGTAGATATATATACAACAACACAAACACAATCGTAACAACATGATAATGTAGATATATATACAACAACACAAACACAATCGTGACAACATGATAATGTAGATATATATACAACAACACAAACACAATCGTGACAACATGATAATGTAGATATATATACAACAACACAAACACAATCGTGACAACATGATAATGTAGATATATATATACAACAACACAAACACAATCGTGACAACATGATAATGTAGATATATATACAACAACACAAACACAATCGTGACAACATGATAATGTAGATATATATACAACAACACAAACACAATCGTGACAACATGATAATGTAGATATATATACAACAACACAAACACAATCGTGACAACATGATAATGTAGATATATATACAACAACACAAACACAATCGTACAACATGATATATATATATACAACAACACAAACACAATCGTGACAACATGATAATGTAGATATATATACAACAACACAAACACAATCGTGACAACATGATAATGTAGATATATATACAACAACACAAACACAATCGTGACAACATGATAATGTAGATATATATACAACAACACAAACACAATCGTATATATACAACATCGTGATAATGTAGATATATATACAACAACACAAACACAATCGTGACAACATGATAATGTAGATATATATACATATAATGTAGATATATATACAACAACACAAACACAATCGTGATATACAACAACATGATAATATATATATACAACAACACAAACACAATCGTGTAACATGATATATATATATACAACAACACAAACACAATCGTGACATATATACATCGTGATAATGATAATGTATATATATATATATATATATATACAACAACACAAACACAATCGTGACAACATGATAATGTAGATATATATACAACAACACAAACACAATCGTGACAACATGATAATGTAGATATATATACAACACAAACACAATCGTGACAACATGATAATGTAGATATATATACAACAACACAAACACAATCGTGACAACATGATAATGTAGATATATATACAACAACACAAACACAATCGTGACAACATGATAATGTAGATATATATACAACAACACAAACACAATCGTAGATATAGCAACACAAAACACAATCGTGATAATGTATATATATATATATACAACAACACAAACACAATCGTACAACATGATATATATATATACAACAACACAAACACAATCGTGACAACATGATAATGTAGATATATATACAACAACACAAACACAATCATAACAACATGATAATGTAGATATATATATACAACAACACAAACACAATCGTGACAACATGATAATGTAGATATATATACAACACAAACACAATCGTGACAACATGATAATGTAGATATATATACAACAACACAGACACAATCGTAACAAAATGATAATGTATATATATATATAGACAACAACACAAACACAATCGTGACAACATGATAATGTAGATATATATACAACAACACAAACACAATCGTGACAACATGATAATGTAGATATATATACAACAACACAAACACAATCGTGACAACATGATAATGTAGATATATATACAACAACACAAACACATAATGTAGATATATATACAACAACACAAACACAATCGTGACAACATGATAATGTAGATATATATACAACAACACAAACACAATCGTGACAACATGATAATGTAGATATATATACAACAACACAAACACAATCGTGACAACATGATAATGTAGATATATATACAACAACACAAACACAATCGTGACAACATGATAATGTAGATATATATATACAACAACAACAACACAAACACAATCGTGACAACATGATAATGTAGATATATATACAACAACACAAACACAATCGTGACAACATGATAATGTAGATATATATACAACAACACAAACACAATCGTGACAACATGATAATGTAGATATATATATATACAACAACACAAACACAATCGTGACAACATGATAATGTAGATATATATACAACAACACAAACACAATCGTGACAACATGATAATGTAGATATATATACAACAACACAAACACAATCGTGACAACATGATAATGTAGATATATATACAACAACACAAACACAAACGTGACAACATGATAATGTAGATATATATACAACAACACAAACACAATCGTAACAACATGATAATGTAGATATATATACAACAACACAAACACAATCGTGACAACATGATAATGTAGATATATATACAACAACACAAACACAATCGTGACAACATGATAATGTAGATATATATATATACAACACAAACACAATCGTGACAACATGATAATGTAGATATATATACAACAACACAAACACAATCGTGACAACATGATAATGTAGATATATATACAACAACACAAACACAATCGTGAACAACATCAAATATATACAACATAATGTAGATATATATATAACAACACAAACACAATCGTGACAACATGATAATGTAGATATATATACAACAACACAAACACAATCGTGACAACATGATAATGTAGATATATATACAACAACACAAACACAATCGTGACAACATGATAATGTAGATATATATACAACACAAACACAATCGTGACAACATGATAATGTAGATATATATATACAACAACACAAACACAATCGTGACAACATGATAATGTAGATATATATATACAACAACACAAACACAATCGTGACAACATCAAAATGTAGATATATATACAACAACACAAACACAATCGTGACAAAATGATAATGTAGATATATATATACAACAACACAAACACAATCGTGACAACATGATAATGTAGATATATATACAACAACACAAACACAATCGTGACAACATCAAAATGATAATGTAGATACATATACAACAACACAAACACAATCGTAACAACATGATAATGTAGATATATATACAACAACACAAACACAATCGTAACAACATCAAAATGATAATGTAGATATATATACAACAACACAAACACAATCGTGACAACATGATAATGTAGATATATATACAACAACACAAACACAATCGTGACAACATGATAATGTAGATATATATACAACAACACAAACACAATCGTGACAACATGATAATGTAGATATATATACAACAACACAAACACAATCGTGACAACATCAAAATGATAATGTAGATATATATACAACAACACAAACACAATCGTGACAACATGATAATGTAGATATATATACAAACACACACAATCGTGACACATGATCGTAGATATATATACAACACACAAACACAATCGTGACAACATAATAATGTAGATATATATACCTACACATAACAAAACGCAAACAATGGTAGACAGAAAAATGTTTATTCACAAAAATGACAAAACAGGTGTGAAGACGTCTGCAAAGAAGACTCTATGGACCTTTAAGCCCAGCAATAGTATAAATGCTTACAGATTGGGTGTTTCAAGCATACGTATTTCCACAACAAAGCTTAGTCACTTATCCGCTTCGGTGGAGCAAGACTAATGGGTGAATTCTTATACCATGAATGTCTTTCTCTTTTAATGCACAGTAAAAGATCTTGTAGGGTTAACGGGCTAGTAATACAATTGTTTCAAATATCTGACTTAGACATTAAGTACATTCAAGTGTGCCACACCCCAGGGTTAATTATTACATAATGCATATGTTTATCTCTTGATACCAAGCAATTCTATATATGGTTATGGTCATACGTCATCCCTCCACACATTTTATCCATTCCCTCCACACCTTACGTCTTCTTATTCACATATTTTATCCATTCCCTCCGCACCTAACGTCATCCCTCCAGACATTCTATCCATTCCCTCCACATCTTACGTCATCCCTCCACACAATCTATCCATTCCCTCCACACCTTACGTCATCCCTCCAGACATTCTATCCATTCCCTCGACACCGTACGTCATCCCTCCACACAATCTATCTATTCCCTCCACACCTTACGTCATCCCTCCAGACATTCTATCCATTCCCTCCACACCGTACGTCATCCCTCCAGACATTCTATCCATTCCCTCCACACCTTACGTCATCCCTCCAGACATTCTATCCATTCCCTCCACGTGTTCCCTCCAGACATTCTATCAATTCCCTCCACACCTTACGTCATCCCCCCAGACATTATATCCATTCCCTCCACGTGTTCCCTCCAGACATTCTATCCATTCCCTCCACGTGATCCCTCCAGACATTCTATCCATTCCCTCCACGTGTTCCCTCCAGACATTCTATCCATTACCTCCACACCTTACGCCATCCCTCCAGACATTCTTTTAATTCCATCCACACGTTACGTCATCTCTCCACATTTTTTATCCATTCCCTCCACACCTTACGTCATCCCTCCACACAATCTATCTATTCCCTCCACACCTTATGTCAAACCTCCACAGAATTTTTCCATTCCCTCCACACCTTACGTCATCCTTCCACACAATCTATCTATTCCCTCCACACCTTATGTCAAACCTCCACAGAATTTTTCCATTCCCTCCACACCTTACGTCATCCTTCCACACATTCTATCCATTACCTCCACACCTAACGTCATCCCTCCACACATTCTATCCATTACGTCCACACCTAACGTCATCCCTCCACACATTCTATCCATTCCCTCGACACCTTACGTCATCCCTCCACACATTCTATCCATTCCCTCGACACCTTACGTCATCCCTCCACACATTCTATCCATTCCCTCGACACCTTACGTCATCCCTCCACACATTCTATCCATTCCCTCGACACCGTACGTCATCCCTCCACACATTCTATCCATTACGTCCACACCTAACGTCATCCCTCCACACATTCTATCCATTCCCTCGACACCTTACGTCATCCCTCCACACATTCTATCCATTACGTCCACACCTAACGTCATCCCTCCAAACATCCTATCCATTCCCTCCACACCTTACGTCATCCCTCCAAACACCCTATCCATTCCCTCCACACCTTACGTCATCCCTCCAAACACCCTATCCATTCCCTCCACACCTTACGTCATCCCTCCAAACATCCTATCCATTCTCTCTACACCATACGTCATCTCTTCACCCATTCGATCCATTCCCTCCACACCTTACGTCATCCCTCCACACAATCTATTCATTCCCACACCACCTTAGGTCAACTCTTCAAACATTATATCCATTCCCTCCTCACCTTACATCATAACACCACAAAATCTTTACATTACCTCCACACCATACGTCATCTCCACACATTTTATCCATTCCCTCCTCACCTTTCGTCATACCTCCAAACATTCTTTCCATTCCCTTCACACCTTACGTCATCCCTCAGTTGGACATGCCATCCTTTTTTTTCTTTTTTTTTTTTTTTTTTTTCATCTTTCGCCATCTATCGATCTCCTGGCTAATGCAAATTCTTACCTGTCCTCTTTTCTGGTCTGACTCCTCTTTCTGTAAGGTAACTTTTAGGTCATCGTCGCCTTTTCGTATATGCGTCCGCCATATTGCTTCTTTCTAGGCTGATACGCATGCGCAGCATCAGGTCTACGAGCGGTAATGTATTAATTAGATCAAGACCGCAATGTTTACATTCTCTATTTTTTAGATATCAATAAAAATGGTTGCAATGACTTTTAATTTCAGTAATTAACAGAAAGTCTTTGTTTTGTAACATACTGTCGGAAAATAGAACGTTTATATCGTTTTCTCGTAGTGTTTTTTTTTAATTATAGTCGCTTTAAATGAAATAACTTGCAAAATATGTGCCTTGAACATCAACTGGTACAAGTCTGGGCATATTTATGAAACAATGGATAATACATGCGCTTTCAATATTACATTAAATTTACAAGTTTTCACAAAGTTGACTTTTCCCTAAAAATGTCTTGCAATTTTCTCGATTAAAACCGTTACACAAAGTGGAGGTTCTACGACGCAAAACATAACAGTCGGTTACATACCAACATACAACTCGTATACGGTACTAGATACTGCTGATCCAGCACATTGTATATATCTATATGTGTGTTATATTCTTATCCTCATTTCCACAACAGTATACATAGGATTAACACTACATTTGAAAAGTCCTTTCGATTCTTCGTACATTGTCTCTGTCAGTACTTGCATGCTTCTCACTCTGATCAAATGTTTAGTCAACGACACGTCACACATTTTAATGTACTTATTGTGATATCAGAAGTTCGACTGTAAACAAAACTTTGAGAACAAAACAAGGACACGAATAATAAAGGCAATTTATCAGATCACCTTTAACCCACTGGCATGCAAATCAAATCCATGCTTCCCGCAGCCCTTGTATTGAAGCTTATATCCTATTCGGTTATGCTAACATTTTTTAATCAATAGGATGGTGTTGTTTTAAGAAACAAAACAATTACCTGTGTTGCTCACACCCTATCTTCATATGATTGAGATATTAAACTAAATACATGTGTATATATACATTTTATTTGATGAAAAATACTGAATAATCCACCGGGAAGTTCCAAGTTTTCCAGTCTTTCTCCCTGCATTCTGCCAGTAGCTCTTCATACTTGGCTTTCTTCCTCTCATGGGCTGCTTCTTGTCTTTCCTCCCATGGTATGGTCAACTCAATAACGGCAATCTTCTTTGTCCCTGATGACCAAATGACTAGATCTGGTCTGAGGTTAGTTGGTACAATCTCCCGGAATGTAAGTTGTTGGCCGATGTCTGTCACTAACTTCCAATCTCCCGCCAGATCCAAGATGCCGCATCGCCCTATCCTTCCTGTTAGTAATGTTTCCCCTGCCTTCACAAACTGTATGGTCTTCTGCTTAATCCTGCTCACCCTCTCCCTTTCCAAGATGTCTGCCAGCTCTCGTAGGACCTGATTACGGCGCCACGTGTACCGTCCCTGTGAAAGAGCAACACTGCAGGAACACAGTGTATGCTTCAAGTTCCCTCTCCTTTCACAAAGGGTGCAATTCGGGTTGTCGGTCAGGCTCCATCTCTCTAGGTTGGCAGGTGTTGGAAGAGTGTCATAAACTGACCGTTGGAGAAACCTCAGCTGATAATGAGGGTACCTCCAAAGTTCTGTCCAGGTAAGCGATCTTTGCTCTGTGGTGGTCTACGTCCCCTGGCTTCCCATTTCGACGGCCTTTGCTTGCCTACTCTCTTCCTCATTGGATCGAATCTCTCTCTGGATCGCGTCCCTTCTCTCTGATGTACTTGCGTCTTTCCAGTAGGTCGTTTTCGTCATCCCTAGGCCTTGTCTACCTTGTGCGACTGATCCAACAATATCCTTATGTCGGAGTCTACATTCTGCCTTGTCTACTGCTTTGCTAGCTGACAATTTCCTCCCTGTTCTTACTTGTACTCCTGCCATCCGAACTTTCTCATCCTTAGAGTCTCGCAAGGTCATTATCAGTCTGTACTTTCCCACCTTAAATTCCTCCACCATAGAGGTGATTGGTAATTAGAGTTTGGCTGTTCTGCTGTAGAGGCCAACCGATGTGAAGCTTGGTGGTACACCAAGCCACTTCCGAAGATTCCTGTTGACAACCCTTTCAATCTTCTCTACTTGTGAGAGTGTGATGTCATACAGCATCAATGGCCATGTAAGTCTGGGTAAGAGTCCATGCTGGTACATCCACAACTTAAACTTCCCTGGTAGACCGGTCTTGTCGATGTTTCTCATCCCTTCCTCTACTTGTACAACTTTCCTGATGTTATCTGTATCCTTCAGTGTGTGGTCAAACCACTTTCATAAGCACTTGATTCGGTCTCCTATGATAGATGGAATGTCCTCGCCTTGCACTCTCAGTTGGAACCTTTGCGTTACTCTTCCTTTCTTGATGATCAATGAACTAGACTTTCTTGGCTTGAATGACATTCTAGCCCATGCCACTCTCTCTTCTAAGGCTTTCAGAATCCACCTTGCCTGAATGTGGGTATCCACGGTAACTGTGAAGCCGTCCATGAATTCCCTGCTTGGTGGTTGCCGGGTGTCGCTGAATGTCTTTGGCCCTCTGGTCTCTCACTCTCCTGCTTTAATGATCATGTTCATGCCCATCACAAAGAGAATCACAGATATTGTGCATCCGGTAACGATTCCCTTCTGTAGTTCCAGCCACGAAGTTGTGAATTCTTTGGTGGTAAATCTCAGCTGTATCCTACTTAAGTAGCTTCTAATCAGGTTCCTAAAGTGTTCTGGTATGTGGTAATGCCTTAATGCCTCGTCTATCAACATATGTGGGACAGTTCCGTATGCATTAGCTAGGTCCAACCATACCATTGTGAGATCAGTTTTGTTTACTTTAGCTTCCTGGATCAGCTAGGAGATGACGCTGGTGTGTTATATGCACCCGGAGAAGCCCGGTACCACTCCTTTCTGTACTGATGTGTCAACGTACTGGTTCTTTGTCATGTAGGCCGTCATTCTTCTGGCAAGCACAGCAAAGAAGATTTTTCCCTCTACATTCAGGAGTGAAATGGTCCGAAACTGGTTGATGTGTTCGGAGTTTTCTTCTTTCGGAATCGAACATCCCTCCGCCTTTTTCCAGCACTCCGGGATCTTCCCTTTCCTCCATACAACTTTTAGAAGTTTCCATAACCGCTGAATTATCTTTTGGCACTTCTTGTATACCTTGTACGGTACACTATTTGGACCTGGAACTGATGCTGATCGTGCTTTCATGACAACGTCCCTCACCTCTTTCAATGTTGGTTCTTTGCTTCTAGTGGGATCTCTGGTTCTGGCACTTCACTTTTCTATTCGGTGATAAAAAATATCTTTGAATTTCTCTATCCCGCTCTTCCTCACTCTTCTAAAGCCATATATTCTATATACTATTAATATTTGTGAATATTATCACTGATATCTTTATGGAAGAAATGCGATATTAACGACTAAACGATATTCCAGTAAGCAGCGAGTGTCAAGGAGAAAGTATACAAAGGGCGGAAAGTGATGGACATTGACAAGTTGTGAGTTAGGCATGGGGACGGTGTATCACCTGTTTCGTTTGCATGGAGAACGGGCAGATGCATGGTCTTAATATATATATAATATTCTCAACATACAAAGTACGTGTTATACACCTACTCCCCCCCTCCTCTCTCTCTCTCTCTCTCTCTCTCTCTCTCTCTCTCTCTCTCTCTCTCTCTCTCTCTCTCTCCAATTAGATAATGCTGACCAGAACATGCATTACATATTCTTGACCTCTCTCTTGTTATACAAGACAATCCATATCAGATGGACATGCCATCCTTATATGCATAAACTGTCAGGAAGGAATGTGTGTAATCTGATATCGGCCATGTTGGTATTCTTCTGTATAAGAGATGTGAGATACATGTACAATTTTATGTTGTTAAGAAATGTTATTCAACTTAAACATACTTTAGTTATTATATCATATTGCTGCCTCGTAAATATAATGTATGTGTATTAATGTTTGGAATGGGCTCTTTATAAGTTAAATTTAATTGCTTCTCACGTAATGTGGAATGAACATGTTTAAATTAAATCTTGTTGTCGCCGTGTTTTCTTCACATCAAAGCTTTTCCTAATAGCAAGTCATGACAATCAATGTTTTAAAATGCCTATAAAAATAAAGTCAAGATTATATCTCATCATATATACATCCAT